GGTGGGCTACTACGAATTTACTACTCTGTAGAAATGACTTTAAGTAAGCACAGATAGAAATACTTTATCTTTGTCTCAGTAATAAATATATAATTTTCTCTCAGTTCAGAGAGAAATCTTCATACACGCCCTCAATTTGCTATAAAAATGAAGACACTGTTGTCTTAAAGCAAAATCATTACCACCAGGAAAAATGGATCTTTTATCATAGAGAGGTGGCTGCCATAGCCTTTACCAGTAGATCTATATTGACATGACTTTCTTATGAAATCATACGGACAGAAGTACTTCGTCTTTGCCATTTTACATATATATAAAGCAAGTTGGTAACGACAGCGCTAAAGAGCTCAGTGTTTTCTTTTCAGCTCGCCAAAGCTTGAAGTTCATATGGACAACATTCATGCGCCATAGCACTATTTGTTTTAGTAAGCGTTTACGACACTTGCAACACAATTATGACATCTAAGTGTCGAATATTAGACGAGTTGTAAGAGAGTAACAAACAAATTAGAAGGAGGGGTGATGATAACGATATACTTTTTATAGGAAAGAAGGGGCAAACCACATCAGGACACCCGCCAACCACCTACTACCATTGAATTGTCCTGTCAGAAGTTAGTCTATGGAACTCTGAGAAGAATTCTTTTATTCAAAAATGAATAAAAACGGGTACTCGTTTAGCTCAAATGGTATCGAGCTGGACTGCGGAGCGAATGTCCCTGGTTCGAATCATAGACTGGGCATTCTTGAACTCTGGTCGTTTTATGGAGTTCAAAGGCTCTCAACCCATCTGGTTCGGTCCTATCGGAGACGGGCGTTAAATTCGGATATTCCGCCTCTTAGATAATCTATTAGTGTTGATAGGAGCATTATTAAGCCCATGCATTTACACTCTTTTTACTTAGAATTTAAAAAACCCACAAAACTACTCACACGCTGCAGTTGAGTTTATCCGACATCTTGGACTCGATGCGTATTTCGTCCTGTGGAACAGACAAAAGAACCTGGGTTATCATAATTATAGCTCCATTGCTCGCTCACTTGAAAGTCTTAATTGCTGATCATGTATTTACATGCATCTTGAAATGGTGTCAAATCGAAGATGGATTATTTGTAAACAAAAATGTGTGACATAATAATAATATCATCATCATCATCATTATCAACAACAACAACAACAACAACAACAACAACAACAACAACAACAACAACAAACTGGCGGTGGCATCTCTTCGGGGGAGGATTCAGGGAGGTTGGACTGCCTCACCCGCTACCCAAGGGAGGCGGTGGCCCTGGCGAAGAGCACGCTCTTCGAGGCTCCCAACATTTCGAACGGATAGGCTACCACAAACACACACAATAACAACAACAACAACAACAACAACAACAACAACAACAACAAACAATGAGATAAACTGTTACAGTTCAACGAATGACGTTCAGGCAGCAAATAACGCTTTGTTTGAATGAGGACACATACCGTGTTTCAAAAATAAAATTTTCATTTCATGAATGTATTAAAGATGGAATAATAAGAATAACTGGCATTATTCGTTTTAACAATAGATAATGGTTCATCATTTATTTACTTAACAATCATCATGACAACATCATGATAAACAAATGTATGATGACATTGATTAATTAAATCTCCAAAGTGCCATTATTGGAGTAGCGGAAATTAGAGCCGCTTTTCTCTGTTGGTATCGAGTGTCTTATAGCGTATCATACTGATACAGTGTAATATAATGTCATGATAATGTTGGTGTGCCTGATGCCATATCAGGTTGGTTTTTTATTTAATCTAGAAAAAAAAATCTTGGGATTCCCCCCCTTCCCC